AGTAAGGCCGTTCAGGTGAACTGTAGAATGGAACGATGTCAAAGACTATTAAATTTAAACTGCTGGGAGAAATTTATTTCAATAAGTAAATGCATACATTATAAATGAAATAACAGACAAACTTTCTTAATTATTGATTTGACAAACGTTATTAAAGAAGAAAAGAAAAGTATCTCGCTGGGAAGTTGTTTATCCGAGTACATAAGGTAATAATTATAAAGAAATAATAAGCTCCGATCCCCAAGAGCATCGGCTTAGTTGGTACATTAATGCGCATAGAGTATTCGGGCTTAAGGGCGCTTCGAAGATCCGTGGGGTCAAAAGGTAGCTTTTCTCAAAATTGTATTTAGTGTTAATAATTTGGCGTTCCCAGTAAAACGATTCTAATAACACAAAGAACCATATTGTACAAGAACTAACTGGAAATTGTTAAATATTTCGAACATTAATGTAACAAAACACAGCTATAATATGTCTATTTCAAATACATTGCTAATGACAAATTAAATAGATATCAAGTATGGCAACACTTGTAGGACCAGATTAATTAACGCATTAATTATATCCATATGTCGACAGCAAACCCTTCGTCGTTAAATTTTCACGTGAACAAAAAATTTCCTTATTTAATTAAACCACTTTTTGTAAATTTAATATCATAAATATTTATTAATATTCATCATCATAAAAAAACATAAAAATTTAATTTTATAATGCTATTTTTACTGTTACCTGCTGATGATCGCGACTCTGTCCGCGCGGTATAAAAAAAAAAGTTCGTAAATAGCCTATTTATTATTCCAGACAATATTCTACATCTGTGTCAAATTTCATTGCGATTCGAAAAAACATGTATCCATATCCAATCTTTTGCATTTACATATATAGTTTTAGTAATATAATAAGTCTAAGATTGTCTTAATCCAATTCAAATTTGGTTTAAGAAAGTCTATGCTAGCCGTAGAATAATGTCTTTAGTCTGTTTTCTGTAATATTTCTAGAATTTATCTCCTATTAAAAAAAAAGCTTGAGATTATAGAGGTTCACCCCTTTAATAATCGTACAGTTTTTACCTTGGGTAGTCAATGTATTGACCATGGCCCAGTTAAACCGTTATTTATAGCGTAATACAATTTTGTAAAAGCGTTTTTAATACGTATTTAAACTTTGCGTATTAAAACTTTGTCTCGACAATATACCTTTAAATAAAAAACAAAAAGTAGAAGCATCGCTTGTTGTCAATTTAACAACTTTATTTACAACGCTACGTATAAACTTTTTGTTGTTATTTACGCTTAACGAATAATACACTTTTTATATTAAGGGCGAAAATAAAAAACCCTATGTATCACTTTCAAAATAATACATATTTTAAAAATATTGTGTATAAAAATCCCAACAAATAGCCCAAACAAAATATTTAAAATTGTTAATTACCTGTTCCCGTTTAAATAAATTTTACAATAACGTTGGCATAATCGTAATCTAATAATGTATTTATCAGTAACTTATTTAAAAAAAACCGAACGACGAAATGCAAAAAGACAAAAGCTCAAAGATCAAGCATTAAGCTCACAAAAATTACAATATTCACTTAGCGTGTCATAGACTCTGCTCAAACGGGCTTCAATTAGCTTCATTCATGTCAACGGAGCTTTATTACAAAGTACAAAGTGTTCATTACGTTATTAACAATTTACTATACAGTTTTGTTTGAACTTACCCTTTGAAAATTGCCGTAAATTGAAGACTAATTAAATTGAAACACTTCAACGTTCGAAGGCAATGCCTTATAGTGCCGTAAAGTTGAGCTCCTAACTTTTATCTATTAAGTTACGCAACTTGTAGACGGTGAAAAGACTACGACGCCCGACCCCACTGTAGTAACTAAGCAATCGATCAAGATCTTTGTCGATTATATTGTAAAACTAAAAGCTTACATCGTTCATTATTAGTTATCTGATTTATTTTATGTACTGCCTAAATTATTAGTTATATCTTCTTTTGGACTTAGTAAGTAATTAGTAGTAAAAGTCACAAAATTATAAATTGTATTCCATTAAACACTGTGAAACTAACAACGTGTCTTTATGTATTTTAAGAAATTATTAGTAAGAATCCTTTAACGCGAATGACGTGCTTTCGTTATGAAGTCCAGTGTCAGAATGAATAGTGACGGGACATAAAGGTCGACATTTTAGTAAGGCTAGTGTTGCGTCAATACACTGCCACATTTTGTTCCTAACAGTATGTATAAAGTATATAAATATAAGTAGAGAAAATAAGCAAAACAATACGAAATATGAAATTTAATAATATTATTTTCTATTAGTCATATTCACAAATAGATATACAGTAATAACTCTTTGATTGTAATTGAAAATTCATGAACATTGTTATTCAGCTTACCAATTTAACCTAATGAACTGACTGAAACGGGCACTCGGCGAAGGAAATTTAATCCACTTCAAACTTTTAAACAAATGATTCACCTTAAAAACGACGCCTCCATTTTCAGTGAGGCGGATTACGAAAGAAAATTAAAATGTTGGTTTTCGGAAACAAAGGAGATAAAACAAATAAGACAAATGTTCTGTATTTCCCAATTAAAAAAAAACTTTTTTATAACTTTACATGTAAATATTTAAAAGTTATATTTATAAAAAAAATCATGAGTGTTGTTTGTGCATTATAATCAAAATTACATTTCAATATTATTATATTTTTATATATTTTTATTAAAAAAAAATATTTCAAAGTCGGAGCACCAGGGACGGAGTTACGAGGTAACACGCATAAAAAAATAACATACAGACGAATTGATAACCTCCTTCTTTATGAAGTCAGCTAAAAAAAAATATAATATACTTTTATAAAACTTGGAATAAGTTTTGAGATCGACAATCTTTCAATTACACTTCTTGTCAAATTAAAAAGGCAAATTATGGAGACTCCACTTGCGTGTGTCTGGCAACATGAAAGGAAAATGTTATCAACTAATGTGATCCATTATGTCTGAACCGCTCCTAAGAATTACGGCTCCGAGTTATTATTGACAAAAGTAATAAAGTAATGAAAATTCTATTGTACAAAGTAACAAAAGTTTTGTTACTTACTAAGTTGATCGCAAAGTCGTCAAGTTCAGTATCAATATTTTATAGTAATAAAAGGTACAAAAATATTATTTATAACGTGAGCAGATTGAGATTGACGTTAGGATATCACAAACGTCATGATATCTAACAATTAATAACCAAGACTAGGATGATAGTGATACAAAAAAGATCACAATAAATAAATTATGTACTAGTAAGGGCGTTATTCTCCTTCGAAAAATGCATTAGTATCTCGTTATCTCATTATTGATAAATACAAGACATAGGGAATTTAAGCTTCATATCAAAGTACACATAAATTTCCCGAATGATAACGAACGTACGAGTGTATCAAGAATTTCTAAGCGCGAGAGACATGCTTAACAATGAGACGCACTCAGTAAAAGTACGTAGTCTCATTTAGAGCGCACTCGACGTGAGACAGCGATGCACGCAGTATTTGTGCCTTCAGCCTTCAAAATGGAGCTTTTGTTAAAATAGCACTGAAAACACTTCTGAAACAAGTGACGATAGCGCTTGAAAAATTTAACGTTTAGGGATGTTGAAACTCGACATATCATCGACGGTTACATTAAAAATTCTGGTAGTTAACTTTTCTTTATGATGTGCGTATTACCCCATATCAAAGAACTTAGAGTCCGCATACAGGAATGACGTCTTTAATTGATGCTCACCATACACGGACTAAAGTTTGAAGTTTGCGTACTCCGACCGTTTAAAACTATCAATACGTCGATATATTTGCACTATTCGGTGAATTGCTAAAGAAAAAAAATAAAAGGACATCAGTAGTTAGTAAAAGTACCACAATAATCACTAGAGTTAAGTACTACTTATCCCGGTTACTTTCACGCTGATGAAACTCCTTTTTATCTTTATTTTCACAAAAACCTGAATATTATTGGTTTATAATTTACACTATCAATTCAGTTTTGTTCCGGGGACGCGTATTCCAAAAATCATCACTAGCTTTTTGGCTTTTAAAAAATTCCTTTTGCTGGCCAAAGGGACATGTAGCATAATATAAAACAGCACTCTGCAATATGACAGCGTAAAGAACTTTACTTTTTGATTGCATCGCGTGTGTGACCAGAATCAAGAGAACCTCAAATTTATACCATATTCGGTGAAATTCGAATCAAATTTCTTCCACTGTATACTAAATATAAAGCAACGGTGGTTCAGGAGTCAAGCATTTGACTTGCAATCTACAGGTCCTGGGTTCGAATCCCGCCATGTACCAATGTGTTTTTTCGATTTCCGCTTTTGCATATGTCCATTTATCCGACGTTCTTACGATAAAGGAACCTGCACATATCTGAGAAGAAATTCAAAGATATGTGTAAAGTCAACCAGTCCGTGGTTGACTATGGACTAATCACCCCTAACTTAGAGTAGGCTCTGAGACCTTCGGTGGCGACATACAGTGCGCTGATGATGAAATACTAAACATCAAATCATACCTTGACATGAAATAATGTTTATTATTTTTATCGCAGTATTTCATAGATTTACAAAGGTTATTTGACGTGCAGTGTTCTCTCTCACTCCGTGAAATTACAGTTGGAAATATTTTTAATAACTTCGCTGTAAATTCGTCATTCATGTTGGTTTCGATTTTACTTATACAAAAAATGATCACTTTGATATTTTAAATTTAAACTTTGTCATTAAAATCAATTATTTCACTGGCAATAAATGAATTTCCATTGCAATAATTATACTTAGTGCGTAGTTTTATTAATTTACTCCTTACTCAGGAATGTGCTTATGTAAAACTTTCTCAAATTGGAACACAAAAAGTCTAGACACTGTTGAAATGAAAAAGAAAACATGATACAATAATGCCAATATTTATTTCATTTATTTCTTATATCACCAATTACACAAAATTAAGAGACAGTGTTATTTTGATTAATATTTTGTTACGTTAATTTTGATTGTTGTCTCTTACGTGGTAAATAATGTTAATGAAATGACGTACTGTGACCTGTAAAAATAAATTACTATTAATAACATTTAATTTATCATAAACAATATTATAAATAAACAGTTATAAAAGAGAATTAAAAAAAATTACCAAACAAATTATGAAGCAGTATAAATCCCTCTAAATATTGGAATATTATGAATCCTTAAGTCGAAAACAAATGGTCTGTCCGCAACGAAGTAGTTCATAATAAGAGGAGCTGACATCTGTATCTTTAATTCTAGAAAAAATGATGTGTATTCAAAATAAAATGAAAAAAATATGATGACTAATCGACTCAATCTTTAGTCCCGGCCATCGCATAACCATAGGCGCCTTTCTTTGAACATTTCAAATCACCAACCCATTGCATATGACGATGGCAAAGGTAAAATCAGACTTATTTGAAAATCATCATCATCATCATCATCAGCTCACTAAACGTTCCCACCGAGGGACTCGGAGCCTACCCCAAGTTAAGGGTGATTAGGCCATAGTCAACCACGCTGGCCAAGTGCGGGTTGGTTGACTTCACACATATCTTTGAATTTCTTCTCAGATACGTACAGGTTGCATCACGATGTTTTCCTTCACCGTAAGAACACCGTATGAAATGTACATATGTAAATCGTAAATAAAAAACACATTGGTACATGGCGGGATTTGAACCCAGGAATTGCAGATTGCAAGTGCTTAACCACTGAGCCAATGACGCTCCTATTTTTTATATTTATATTATTTGAAAATAGTGTTATTTTATTTAAAAAAAAATTCGTTATACAAAATTAATTAAAAATCACGGCTTCACTCACTTATACTTCGGTGTATGTAGGTACCAACTAGTTTCAGACACGTCGGGGGCCCTACTTTAGGGTGATTTGATCAACAGGCTACATTCGCAGTAGTCCAGCAGGCGTTTGGGCCTGGCGCAACTCGAAACCCTAAAGAAGGACCCCCGACGGGTCTAAAACCTAAACCTACGACCGATAACACTTACCATTCGCAGCTCCTGCTGCGGTGCCTTTTTCATTTACATCAACAAAAGCCTTTTGAGTTGCTTGACCAACGTATAATTGTTCGCTTTGTTCATCTACTATTTTAGACAGGTCAGATTCAATAGGATCAAAAACTTTCTCAACTCCCAACTACAAACGAATTTTACATTTTAAAACATAGCATTACAAGGATAATAATATTTTATAGTAATAAAGTTATAATTTTTTTCTAAAACGAAAGTACTCACATTACGTAGGACACTTTTCAAGTTTATTTTGGTTTCAATAGTAAATCTCGGTATTTGCACATCTATAAGATCTGTCTGCATATTTTGTAAAGCTTTTTCCAAGATTGAATAATCGTTTAATGCATTCTGAAGCTGAGTAATTCCATCTACATCATTTGGGAGGATTATATAAAGTGCAGAATTATTGCCTACATAAGGTAGTTCAATTATCTGAAAATAGCAGTAATTTTAAACAATATGGAGCTGATTTTGACGCTACCATGTCTCCTTATATATAAAATACTCCTGTCACAGTGTTAGTTGCCATACTCCTCTGAAACTGTTTGACCGATTTTTATGATATTTTATATGCATATGCAGAAGGTCTGAAATTCGGCCGCTGTATATTTTTTTAAAACCGCGCGCATGAAGTCACGAGCAACAGCCAGTATGTATATAAAATCGTATTTTTTACTAGGGCTAAATGGATATTGTTGTAATGTTAGAAATGGTTTTAATTACATATTTTTAATTTTAAAATCAAGAAATATATTAATTTAACTCACTGTTGATTTAAGCTCGTCACTTCTAACGAAATTGAATGTTGCAGTTTGACGCATCATCGGTACTTTTACCGTTATGTTTTTTGTTACATGGAAATCACGGCTCGTTGTTGAATCTATAGAGAACTGATTTTGCCAGGTACTCTGTTAATTAAAAAAAAAACAAAAAATATATATCTAACTAAAGGATTAAGTATTAATACTTAAATGAAAAATCGAACCTGGAAGTAAATAGAATTAACAAGTAGTACAACAACTTTACTTAAATCTTTAGGATCGATTAAATTTTTGATGCGATTGTTTGTCTGAACTTCAACCTAAAACAAAAAAAAATAGTTAAAATTAAACTAAGAAACAATATATCACCCGTTGCAAATATACTTATTTAATTTACTCACCCATTTATTTATTTCTGTTGCTGTTTTGTCCGCTTGAGAAAAGTCTGCGCTTTTTATCTCCGAATTGAGGGTCTGATCTGTCATAGCTGCATAATGTTTATTAAGATTGAATTTTTTACTGACGTAAATTCTGTTAACTAGTCTTAACACAGTCCCTTCTAAGGACCCAAGTCTAGTCGTCAATTCAGTAAAAGCAGATATTGTCTGTAAGTTTAAATGTTAAAAAATGAAGTCCTTAAAGATATAGTTTTCTTTTGCGGCAATAGGAGGGTCTTTTTTGTCATTTTTTTTGTATCTTGACGTTTTGTCTCATGATAAAGGAACACTTCACGCATGCAAGTCATATGCTATAATAGTTAAAATTCTATAATTGTTTAATAATCATAATACTAGCAGTCGCCCGCGATTCCTTTCGCGAGAAGTTAAAAAAAATTTAGTAGCCTATGTGTACTTCAAGACTACATCTATGCCACATATCAGAGAGATCCATCGCATTTATAATTTTACTAGCTGTCCGCGCGGAATTAAAAAAAACTATGTTCAACATCCATCCCAAGTTCCATCGAGATCCGTTTAGACGTTACTGGAGATACCATCTAAAATTATCCATACAACCCACTCATCTGTCGAAACATTTGCATTTATGATATTAAAAAGATATTATTAAGAAGTAAGATTCTTACCGACTGATCATTTGGCATGCCGATTGCCGTAAGAATTTCATTGTGGGTGCCTCCTCCTGAGCCCAAAACGAGTTGCGCTAGTGGCGTAAGGACCGAAAACGGCGACATCACAAAACTATCATTGTTGTTATTTTTTGCAACTTCCTGAAATTTAGTACTTACAGTGTATAAAAATGTGTGAATTTTTGAATATAAAGTCATAAAATGAAATTCCTTACTGAGAAAAATTTTGTTGTTAATCTTAGATTTCCCTCCAATAAAAGTGCAGCATCGTTACTGCAACGACCCATTGCCACGATGGCTAACAATGTCACTGAAACCACTCAAGAAAATCAGAAGGAATGAAATAATACTGCATAAAATTTAATCAATATTTCACAATGCTATCTTTACGTAATAAAATATCATCAACCTGTGATTTTCCCTACAGACTGTCTACAGTATGTACTCTTCCATACATATCTATCAATATATATTTAAATCCACTTTCTTACATAATAATATACCTTAATATAACTCACAGCGGTTGGCTAAAATTAGGGATTTTAACATCTGGAAAAACTTTAATTCTTGCTTGCTAATTTAATTTGTGCGACCGCAATGATTTGAGTCGATTTTTTATATTATTTAGTTTGGTTTAGTTTTAGTATATAGTTTATAGTATTATTTTGGTAGATTAATTAGTCACTTAAAAATTAATATAGAGTTAAGTAATTCTTATTGAAATATGTTTACTTTTATTCTTGCTTTGATTACTTTTATATTTTAGGTTTTATCTTAACCTCTTTTATCAGTGGATCAACAATGTGATGAAATCTTAGAACATGTTCGAAAAAATATTTAAAAATTTAGTAATCTCCACATATTTTTCGAATAATCATTAATTTTTTTAAAATTTCGTCCCACTTATTTTTGTATATACAATATAATAATGTAAATGTATTGTAATAGTTTTAACAGTGGTAGAGCCCGCTTTAACATCTTCGCACGAATTGGCCCGGCTTGCCCGGTGAAATACCACAACCACACAGAAGACTGGCGTAAAGTGGAAGCTATTCCGCGTTTCGTCTGATGAGTGCGTACCGGAGGCCTATTTTAGTTCTCTTTCCCTTCGCACCTTTTTTATTATAAGGAAAGGATGGGAAGTGGAAGTGGACTTTTCGGATGAGAGGATGCATGGAAAGGGAATATATTTTCTTTCTGTGCATCCTCTCCTCCGTCGATTAAAGGTAGGCATATGCAATTGGTATGTCTATGGGCAACGGTCACTTCGCTATATCAGCGATTTCAGGTGGCCGCTCGCTGGTTTGCCACCTTGTAATATAAAAAAATCTTTTAATTTTCATAATGTTAAGTCGAAAGCTTATAAAGAGTTGCATTTAAATTTATTTATTAAAATATATTATATTGTATGGAACAAAATTTATTAGTATAAAAATATTAAACAGAAAATACTTACATGCTATACACTTCATGTTGGTTGTGGTCACTGTGACGGTTACCACTTTACTGGCATTACCACGAATCCACCAATTACAGGTAAATTATTACTACATGAATTTCATTTATCTTATCGCCAGATTCGTAACAGTTTCGTGTTTACTGTAATAAGCTACTCTTAGTTATGTTGATTGATTTTAAAAACACCATTTTTAACAGATTAAATTTATTCTACAAATTCGAATTTAATATTTTTAATAGAATTTTTTTAGTACTTCATGTCCATTTAAATTAATAATTACTGAAGGCTAATTAAGTTTTAGCTTCTATACTGAAAGTGAATTAAATTGATCGGCGTCAAGATTAAAAACTCTTTTGTACGTAGCTCGTAGCTGCATACAAAGCTTGCTTACATAACTTGAACTTAATCGTGTACTTAATTTATTCAGACCTACAGCTATCGCTTTACTTAATTCCGTATGATGTTAGTAAAAATTACAAAATTGCACATTACATGAAAACATGCATGGTTTCAGATTAGGTCGTTCCACTCACACAAATCTTGTTCATTTTGTATCAGAGATATCGCATGATGTTGATAAAGGCGTGGAAGTCGATGCAATTTATACGGACTTCAGCAGTGCTTTTGACAAAGTTAACCATTCCCTGCTGGTTGACAAGCTTGAAGCATTCGGTTTGGGTGGGGCCTTACTAGACTGGAAAGTCGTATTTAAACAAAAGATAACAATATGTATATGTGAATGGGTATGAATCAGACGTGTTCTATGCTGACAGCGGCGTTCCTCAGGGTTCTCACCTTGGCCCCCTGCTCTTCTTGGTTTTCATAAATGACATACCTGACCTACTGCATTAAAAACTGCAAGAAATCTATGTTCGCAGACGATTTAAAGTTATACAAGATTGTCAAATCCCCTGCTGATGCAAATCTCATACAAGAGGATTTAAATGCAATAGAAGAGTGGTGTTTTAAAAATTCTATGACTCTCAACGTAAAAAAGTGTTACCATATTAAATTTAGCAAGAAGAAGAAGCCGCTTGTCACAAAGTATGAGTTGGGCGGCGCGATTATATCCGAGTTAGAAGTAGTACAAGACCTTGGTGTTACAATAGACTCTAAATTAAAGTTTACGACGCACGTGAATAATATAGTTGCCAAGGCTGCTAAGACTTTAGGCTTTCTAAGACGGAACACCCAAGACTTCAAACTTATACAAACAAAACAGATGCTATATAATGCTTTCGTGCGTAGCCAACTCGAATATGCGAGTGTTGTTTGGAATCCGTTGTACGCGGTGCAGTCGCAACAAGTTGAGGGTATCCAACGAAGCTTCACACGTCATTTAGCATTCCATGCAAGAGGATTTTCACATCGTAGTCCATACACTCAAAGGTTAAAACACTTTAATATGATGTCACTTAAATCAAGAAGAGAGGTATTAGATACATGCTTTCTATATAAGCTTCTAAATGGTTCACTTCATTGCCAACAGCTGCTTGAGAATGTGTTCTTTTCGGTGCCTAGACAAAACGCACGCGGCACTAACAAGCTCTTTCACGTCCCCAGGTGTAGGACAAATCTCGGCCAGCACTCGCCACTAAACAGGATATGTTCTGGATATAACAGATTACTTGAAAAACAAACTACAAATAATATAGATCTCTTTGGCACGAACTTTAACTCTTTCAAAAAAATTATTAAAACTTATTTCAGTATGCATAATCTATAGAATAATTACAAAGATAAAAAAAAAATCTACTATTTTATAATAATTTCCGAAACCTTAAACTATTACCTAAATAAATACCTCTGTAAATGTTATGTACACCAATATTTACATATGTATAAGATCTAATACTATTCATTTGATAAGTTGTATGTGTGTTATATATATGTTGTGGTTGTGCTTAAATAAATAAATAAATAATTAAATAAACATGAAAATTACAAAATTGCACGATGATTATTGTAACAAAACACATCAGCCTAAGGAATTGTTTCTAACATAATATAGTATAAAATAAGAACGATCTTTTATACGATATTAAAAAATCGCACTTCTGAACACTCTCCTCCTATATTTAAACCTAAATATATAAAGTAAATTCATGTTCTATTAACCTAATTATTTTGATGGACATTGCATTCGAACTTTGAGTAATTAATTTAACAGACGTGATTGGAATATAACTAAGATTTAATCATATAAATTATATTGCAGTTCTGTTTTGAATGATAACAATATTTGTATTCAATTTATTTGATTACAAAAATAATATTCGAAGCATAAAATCCTATTTCCATTAATAACTCTATGCGCTTTAATAGCATCATTTTGGTAACTCATATGAATATTAATTTTGGATTCGATAAAATGTGTTATAACGTTTGTTCGATTTAGTTCCGAAATAGTTTTTGAATTTCCCGGTTGCCAGTTTTTCTATTACTAAAGTGTAGACACTGACCCTTTAGAGTTCTGGTTCTGTTTGATATATTGAGGACAAATTGACCAGGAACTTGCAAGCGGAAAACGAGGCATCGATGTGGCAAGTCATCTAGATTTTTTTTAAATATTTCTATAGTTTAATTGTGGTACCATCACGTACAGTCAGGGTCCTTGACTGTGTTATGTAACAGTGAATTGCGCAAACGATGACATAACAGTAAAAACCAATAAGTATTAATCCGCCATTCCGTACAGACACATTTGAAAGTTGGCTCCTATTGGCTATTATTCTCACATCGTCGTCTCTATGCTTAGGAAACGTTCAAATGACTGTCGCTTTTAAGAAATACCGCCACTTTCCCCGATAGTACTTGCTCGATAAACCCGCTCGAGCATGTCATTGTTTACGTTAAGGCTATCAATCTACGACAGCTGGCTAAATTATGTGTGTATGTGTGTGTGTATGTGTGTATTTATGAATTAAAAATAAGTGACACTATTAAATAGTGTCATTTATTTTTAATTCATAAATTGTCATCATATGTTGATGAAATTATTAATTTTAAAGTGCCTGTAGCCGTCTGTCAAGTTGCGTATTATTTTATTTTGATTGAATAGATATTAAATAGGTTATTATTAAATGCTAACCATTTATTTGTAAACATCAAAGCGGGTAATTAGTAAAGTAACAAGAGCCGCTTGTTACGATCGCAATATTCCTCGTAAATGTTGAAGCCAGCCGGAATATCAAATTTAATTTTCCTAAGTTAATGTTTAATTAACATTACAAAAAAAAAATGTAAACCTAGTTCTTAAAACCATGCTTGTTTGTAAATTAATTAGCCATTGGTATAATTAAGTATTTTTATGGTGCATACCATACTATGACTTTCTAAAACAAATACAAGAAAATATAAGGACATTAGACTTTCCGGAACCCGTTCTGTCTTTAAGGATTGTGATATTATTTTTTCCTAGATTTAGATTGTCCACGATATTAGGTTTATTTCTCTTTTATTTTCTTAGTTAGTTCCTTTATATTACTCGGAATTAAACTTCATTGCATGAAACGTATTATATTTATAACATTTCTTCCGTTTAGGCTTCGTACTTCGTTCTTCGTAGTCCACTGAGTTTACTCCCTTACATCAATATGTGTGCGGTCACGTTGAACACATTAATCTTTTCAAGGCGAAGCTTATTCGATATTAACTTAAACGTAATATTGAATAATTCAAGGGTGAGAATATGAAAATAATAAAGTCTAAAAAAATATTAAACGACAATAAAATTGCAATGTAACAATCACCGTTGTTTATATTTATTGTGTGTATTTGAAATAATAAAGTAAGCACAAATATCAAAAGTTAATTTTAATCTTATTTTGTAAATAACTATTATTAACAAACATATAAGTAAAAACCAAAAAAAGCATAATCATTTGTAATATTTTTTTGCCTATGTATTTCAATTTACTATTTAGCATGTTAATAATTAAAGGTTTTTTTTACAATTACCGTAAATAATTTCATTGGTTGTTGTGCATATTATTATAGAGTTAGACCACATCACATGGCTACATATTGTGAACAGAGTAAATACCTATAATGTAAACTTTAAATGCAACGATCTTAAAGACGACGGAAAATAATGAGGATGAAAAGAGCGGTTGGATTAAGATAAATTTTGGAATTTATATAATAAAATAAAAAGACAAAATGAAAATATAAAATAGAATAATGAAATGAAAAGATCAGCACGCACTGTCGTATTTTCAACTAATCTTTTAAATAGAGATAAAAAAGGAAAAAAAAATAATATGTTTCAAAAACAAAAATGTAAAAATTACGAGTAAAAAAAGTGTAAAAAGGTTCCGTATCTGTCGGCAACTGATCCTTTCTCGAGCATATAAAATAAATTTAAAAAGAACATCGTTGATGTTTCGAATAGTGGAATTGTCAAGTAATATGTTGAATGTATATCATACACACACGCGGACACGGAGTCACGAGCGACATCTACTAAATAAATAAATAAATGTCTCGTAACAATGTATACAATACCCACACACTCGTGAGCTTTTCGAATTGCTCTCCCTTTGCGCTCGGGTTTCATTAATGCACTGCTAAACTAGTTAACTTGATGGACACTGCAATTGCAGTATAAAATGCGATTGGGCCAAGCTAAATAGCAAATAAATTGAATCAGATGAAAATGTATACTTTGGTAGATTTTATAAGGAAATGGTATGTTGAATTGACATATTTTCTCTATGTTATTTAAGACACTATAGAAACAGCGGACTGTTGTTAACACTGCTAGACCTGAAGACTAAATTAATTGCATTTTAATTTGGCTTATAATATGTTAAAAATTAAAGTAATTCATATTGGCTTTGCTACACTATGACGTCACAAAGAAGTCCGCTCTCAGTGTAAATTGCGGCAACCCGCAGCACTGATTTTCAGCCGGCTTTATTTACGTACAGCGGCGTCGTCTGTGTAAAAGACATTCTCACATATCGCTTACGTATTTTGTATCAAGAGTACTTTGCTTTAGTATTTAAAACGAACAGCTAATATGTTTTTACACTTTACAAATTAAGTCTATATTAAAATTAATAAAATAAATTAGGCAAAAGAATAAAATAGGAAGACCTATGTACATGTTTTTGTTGAAATTTTTTATGCATCGAATTTATTTTTACGAAGAATGAAACATTTTCACATTACAATTTTTTTATTTTTAACATAAGAAATATGTCCATCAGATCGTACATTAGTTGCAAGATGTTAAGTATTCAAAACTCAACTACAAATTCAACAATTGTTTACAAACTCGACGATAAGTCATTTAAGTTCGAAAGATCGAAGTTGAGGCCAAAAATGGTTGCAAATTTTCGCTTCCCGTATTAATATAGTAATAAAATTAAAATTGAAAGTTTTATACAAGTAAAAGTTTTGACTTTATTTCAGTATTTCTTAATAAAAGCTGCACTTTAAACCCCTTGCTTTCGTTTACCACAATAAGCTAAGCATGAAAGTGAAGTGTTTCCTTTTTACTTTTAATTTATTCACTCTTCTCATTAAAACAGTAGCAATGAAGAAGTAGGACTTAAAACACTTTTACTTCGCTACTTTTTAAACGCAGTTGAAGTTTTTAGTTTTTTCCACTTTTCACAAAACAAAACTGGTATAATTTCCAGCATATTCAAAAAGACTTTATCTTCGTTGATGTAGAACTATAATAACTTTATGGATTTTTACAAATCATTAGAACATTATGTCTATTACATTCTCTACTAACAACTATGTTGCGGTACCTTTTCAATTGTAGTTGCTTAACCGTTGGTTTCTTAGAGCAAAATCTCTGTATAAAACATATCGTCATTTGTATTTCCTTAAACTCTTTAAAACTGATAGATAAGTCAAGTCTATGTGCTTATTTTAAACAAATTAATACAAAGTACATCATCATCATCATCAGCTCATATGTCCCCACCGAGGTGCTCGGAGCCTACCCTAACTTAAGGGTGATTAGGCCATAGTCAACCACGCTGGCCAAGTGCGGGTTGGTTGGCTTCACACATATCTTTTAATTTCTTCTCAGATATGTGTTGGTTGCATCACGATGTTTTCTTTCATCGTAAGAACGTCGGATAAATGTACATAAGTTACAAAGTACATAGTAAAAGGCATTTCAATTGCAGTGAACTAACAGAATTCAATTAGATACGGTCATTAAACATTCAGTATTTGTCTTAGCAGTGCGCGGTTCAATTACTTAATAATTAGGAACTATACAATTATAATGTGTTAGAGCTCAATAGGCAACATCTATTCTCAGCAACGGACTACGTCCATAGTAGATAGTTAAAAACACTGTTTGTTAATCAGAAAATCAAATAACTCGACTGTTTGACATTCAGAGGAAGGAGACGAATAACACATTACTCATTGAAATAGAAGTGACATACATTCAAACCCACATACATAAAACATAATAACAAATGTAAAACATTACCCCTCCCATTATATCACATTTTAAGGAGTTGGTTTATCTTTATCAATGACGAAAACACACAATGTATAAAGAGTACTGACAGATCTGATAAAAATATAGATTTTAAACAAACAACAAACAGACTCATTCTACAGGAGGACGTATACTCATTAGAAAGAACTGTCATTGGTAGACGAGAGCGTGCACTGAATTTACTTCTCAAAAGAACGACGTCAAACATTTTCACACAAACTGTTGTCTACATTAATTTTTTTATTCAT